TTTAAATAATATTTTATTTATTCAGATTTTATTTCAAGTTCAAATAATTATCAATTTGATCTTTAATGCGAATTAACTCCAATATTTTGTGACAATTAAGTATAAGCTTTTTGCCTCAATCGTTATTCTTTATACACAATATATAAAGATGAGGATTAGAGTTACCCTTGACATAAGCTGGTTGAATGTCCTTTTGCGTGAAATACACTGGCATAGTGATGTCTCTGTTATTTGAAATCTGGAAAAGATTAACTATACATCAACAAATATTTTCAACAAAACAGATTAACTAAAGGGGAAATTGCTTATTTAATAGCATTTATAATTTACATGCTTTGTAACTCAATATTGTTACAATAACAAGTGTCTCCTTTTGTATTAAGTATAATTGTAGTTTTTATACAGAAAAACTATATGAAATTTCAACCAGACTTTCTAATTGTATATTTCAGGACAAGTATTTTGTCCGCTTAATTAAATTTAAAACGAGTTATGATATTTCAATTGGAAAAATTATTTGTGTTGGCACTAAGCATGAAAGTTTTGGACTCAAGGTATTTTTAACGGATATCATTGTAACTACCATTCTTGTAATCTATGATTCTAACAGGCTTTCAATCTATTGTAAAAATTAATGAAATGCTAACTGAATTTAAAACATTAAAAGCAATTTAAAACATGTATTGTATTTGTTTTCTTTTTTTTTTAAAATAATAAGCATTTAATTAAAAGCAATTTTGATTAATTTTATTAACAAAAATAAAACATCACAGTTTTAATTCATAATCAAAATGTAAATAAAACGTTAACAAAATATTTAGTAAAACATTACAAAATTGGGAATAAAACAAATACCCCTTTATTTAGACCTATTTTTAGATGTAATTTATTAGATAATAAAACTCTTACATCACACACAACTATAAAGTGAATATATAAAATAATAGAGGAACGCATACAATACTATCAATTACCACACAAAAAATTATGACACTTATAAACATAGGGCGCGTCAGTAAAGGGAAAGCACTGCACACCTGCATACGACTATAAGTTAGTACACATAAGGCTACGTCAACTATAAATACGAGTATCAGTAATATGGGGAAAAGCATTGTCAACGTTCAAACACTTCAACTATAAATTAGTACACAAAATTCTGAACACCTGGTGTGGATTAACATAATCTTAATATAATGTACAGGGTGGTTCACAAATAACTACCACATTTTGTTCTAATGTAAAGTCTATAAGAGAAAACAACAAAGTGGTGCGTTATGTTTGACGCACCCTGTACATACTTACACTACGTTAGATACTATTACTACTATCATGTATCTAATAACTTTATATTTTAATGAAACAGTAATAAAAATATTATTAAGTTATACAAATGTTATGTAGTAATTGTGTAATAAAATATTTCTTATATGATTGAGGACAAAAATGAGCTGAATGCAATAAAACATTACATTATCAATATTTGAATTAACTGTTATATCATACAATTGTATAAATATAAGAACCTTATGAATTTATAAAATAAATAAATAAGAATTGACTTGAAACATAACTAAATCAATTATTTACAAAAATATTGGAAAAACGCCAATTAGATAATTATACTTAATAAATTATACTAATGTTATTTATTAGTAAAGTTAATATAATAATATTTATAAGTTTTACATTTATCAATATCTGAATACTTATTAAATACATAACCAGGATTTCTTGAGGTTTATAATAATTAAATGTCATTTATGATTGATGTTGTTAATGCAGCAAATCTATTTGTACTCTGTATAACATTATAAGAAAGTATATATTTCAATGTATTGAACTAAATGATAAATAAAAGGATACTTAACATTTAAGATAATGTAATCCATATTATATTAATAAAGAAATGAGCTACAATAATAAAATGTATTTAACATGTTACACGTCATTGAAAATTATATAATAATTTAATACTTAATAATTAAATAATTTTAAATATTTCTAAAGTATTATTTAATTGATAGTTATAACCAAGCAAAATATGATTTTAGAAATCAAAGTGGACAATAATTAATAATTAATTTACTTTACGTCAAACTTATTTGCATACAGTATATGATTAATGCATATACAGTATAATTATCCAGGATATACAGGATATACAGGATATACAGGATATCCAGTATATACAGGATATCTAGATAATATAAGAAAAAAGTAAGTTTTTATAATGTTAACATCATTGTGCATAATTGTTATTATATTTATATTTAATTTTTTATTAAATCGTCTATTACTATTTTTAAAAATAATTTAAAATAGACTTACCAAATAAAAGAGAAAATATGAATCAGTTTGACAAAAAAACAATGAACGATGTCGACATAAATACCATGATAAACATAATTTCAATATCAGACAACGTAAACAGCTGTAAACCGGATAAGGTTTATTTCATTACTATATTATTATATACAATCTAATTCATTTTAAGCATGCACAAATAACTATTGTAATAATTATTAACTATTGTTTTGTTTGTACAAAAATGTTTTTATTTTCAAAGAAACGAGAGATTACTTTATTATTATTGGGAGAGTCAGGTGTGGGAAAGTCCACATTCATTAACGCAATTGTAAACTATATGTCTTTTGAGAGAATGGATGTGGCAAATGGTCTAATATGTTTGATACCCGTCAACTTTACCATCACAAATCCAGAGACACTGTTACCGGAGAGGGTAACACTTGGTCACAATGATATGAATGAAAACACTAATGACCCGACACAATCTGCCACACAATATCCCAAGTGTTATACATTTCAAAACAATGACATTGTGCTCAATATAATCGATACGCCGGGAATTGCGGACACGGATGGTGTGGATAAAGATAATACAAATATGCAAAATATATTAGATTTTATCAGTAATTATCGGGAAATTAATGCCTTTTGTGTTCTCTTAAAGCCAAACGATGCGAGAGTTGATGTTGTCTTCAAGTATTGTATATTTCAATTGTTCACTCATTTGAATAAAAGCGCCGCAAATAATATAATATTTCTATTTACAAACTCCCGGAGCACTCATTACATGCCTGGGGAATCCGGACCCGCATTAATGAGTATTTTGAAGCAAATCAGGGAAAGTCCACCAAATGTTGACATCCCTTATAACAGATCGACTACTTATTGTTTCGATTCCGATTCCTTTCGATATCTCGTGGCATCGATTCCGCCAAATAATATACGATTTGAACCAAGATTAAAGCACATGTATGAAGATAGTTGGGAAAGGTATGTAATACTTTTCGGGCACATAATAATTAGAATAAGTGTAACAATTAGATTAAATAAAAATTTATCAATTACCAAGGTTAATCCTTAAATATGTCAAGTAATAATAAGTCATGTATAGAGCCAACCAATTTGGCTCAAGTTCTAGGTTTTATATACCAAATAATTATACTTTTTATTTTTTATAGATCTGTAGAGGAATGTCGGCGTCTATTCAATCACATAATACAACTGCCGGCACACAAAGTGATGGACACCTTATCGTTGAATAACGCCAAACAAATCATACAATTATTAACCAAACCGTTGGCCGACATCACAAAGAATATCGCGGATAACGTAATGCAATGCGAATTAAATAAGAATGAGATTAAAGCATACAAGGGATCCATTGAAGACCTGCACAAAAAACTATACATACCATCGGTTGAGATAATATCTGTACCGTTAGACCGACCGAAGACTATATGCGGTGTCGCCGAGTGCTGTGAATTTACAACAATCGATGGCGTCATCGATATTAATTACCTAACCGAATGCCATTCACCATGTTACCTCGATTTTGACGATGGTAATATTGTAGGCAATAAGGGTCTGCTACGGTGCAAAGCGTTTAATATACACAGTAAACCGATCGTGACCCTGGTAGGTCGAGAAAATCATGGTTTAAACGTACCATCTCAGCGCCCGGCGGCCGATTGCAGGAGAAAAGGGCCCAATCGGTCGAATGCTATCATTGCGGCCATAGTTACGAAA